GAAGGGCAGTGCTGCTCCCTCTCCTCCTGAGACACGGTCCCCGCCCTTGAGCAAGGACTGAGAAGACAAATCACGTCAGGCCACTTTCTTACCCAGTGCGCTGAGAGTCTAGAGAACCTGTTTCCTCTTTGAAAACAGGAGACTTTCTGGGAGATTGAGGGGGAGGCAGCAGGGCCTAACAGAGGCTGAGCTGTGTCTAGAGAGTGCGTTCAGGTCGCAGGTCCTGTTCCCAGATGGTGTCTTAACAGGGTTTGGGCCAAGCAGAGAGAAGACAGGTCATCTGAGTGATGTCGTTTCAGATACAGAAATGAGTCGGCCGGCATCGAGGGCAGCTCAGACTGCGATCTGGAGGAAGAGGCACTTGGACAGTCACTTTGCAACCGCTGAAGAATGCCTGAAGCTTTTCCCCCAGAGGCTGAGGGAGTCTTTCCAGGTAAATGGTGGCCTGACCTCTGCTTTGCTTACCTCCACCTGCCTTCCTCCTCAGTCCCGTCCGTGCCACCACGGCCCAGCTGCACAGGGGACACAGAGGAGCGGAAAACACGTCCCTTAGCCTTGGCCAGAAAGGGGTACAGCCTGCCCCTTCTTCCATTGTCTAGGGGTTGCTTAGCTCTGAGGGCCCCTAGGTTTGTGCTTCTTGAAGGGTCCAAGGGCTCGAGAGGAGTAAGGACATCCTCCTTACAAGGGAGGCAGGTGGGGAGGGGCCATGACAACTGGTGTCACTGTGACATTAGGGTCTGTTCATCCATTCACTCCCATTCCCCGCACTCACTCACCAGCAAGCACACACCCTCTGCCTGCCAGCACCCACGCTCAGCACTGGGGATCCAAAATGCAGCCTGGCTCCAGGGCTCAGGTTAGTGCAAGACACAGATGGTAAACACGTGCATCACACAAGTCGTGACTGGCTGTGGCGAGGGGACCATCGGGTGCTCTGGGGTGCAGGGGAAGGGCCCCTGAAGGGTGCACTTTAAGGAGGTGACGCCTGGAGTGAGTCCTGAGCTCCGAGCCTCTGTGGGCCGGAAAGAGAGGGAGTTAACAGTGGACAAGGCTTGTGAGCAGGCGACAGCAGACAGGCCATGGGCCTCAGGGAGGAGCACGCGGCTCGTGAGGACCAGGGCAGGGACTGCGGGCCGACCCTGTGACACGAGGCGCAGGCCGCCCCTCCCACAGAGAGGCGGGCAGAGTGGCCTGACCTACAGCAGTGCCGGGAAGTGAAAGGGTGACTGAGGGCCGAGGCAGAAGGTGGGCTGAGGAAACTGAACTGTGTTTGCTACAAAGTGGGGCTCGGGTCCCCAGAAATTAGAGTGGATCCCACCCCAGGGAGAAGGGATGGGGAGGGAGAAGGTAGAGCTGCCCCTAAGGGGTCCCCTTGTTCTGAAACATCCCCCACTGATGGCCAGTCAGAGTCTGTGGTGACCAGAGTCTTACTTGAAAATAAATATATCCATGGGGACCATGTAGCTGGGGTTTTGCAGGATCGGCCTGCCTTGAACTGTCTGTCATGTTGTCAGACTGTGTGTCCTCATGTATGATCTGAATAAATACGGTGATGGTACGTGTACACCAGGAAGCCTTCATCTCCAAACAGACCCCACGCCCGGCCAAGCAGATGCTCTGAGAATCCCAGTGGTAGCTGG